GAGAGAGAGAGAGAGAGAGAGAGAGAGAGAGAGAGAGAGAGAGAGAGAGGCACACACCTAGCAAGTCATTTTACCTTTCTCTCAAAAAATACTCACCTTCGGTCATAACTGGCCCCATAAGGAAACTGCTGCCGCTGCCCCATGCCCAGATTGGACATTGCTCCCGAGGGACTTTGGTTATACATGTCCTGCATGCTGCTGTTGGGCATCTGTCCTTGTGTCATAAAAGGCTCACTACTTCCAGGCACTGTAGTATTTGAAATAGAAGGCACAAAATTAAGTATTTTCAAAGGTCAAAGGACTCCTACGATTCCTCTTGGTAATTTCTGTGTTCTCTGCCCTCAGCTGACCAAACTGCCAGTGAGAGCATAAAGCCTGGAGTCAGATGGGTCCTATGAGAGCAGAATCCCAGCATAGGCTCCAAAATGCCCTGCTTGCCCCGGTGTATATCTTGCATGAGCTCACTGCCCTGAATGTGGGCAAAAGCTAGGGACACGATGGGCTCTGTGGCATCATGATTATGGAATGTTACAGGGATTTCACAGTAACTGAAGTTACCAGTTGGCTGACTTTGATTCGAGGAAAGGGAGAGTACTGTATTTAGAGATCCCCTCTAACAGGGTTCACAGTTGAGAGATGGGGCTACTTCCAGACCTTCTTCTACTGTTCTTGAAGAAGTGACAGCCATGCTATAGTGAGGGCTACATCACAAAAGGTGGGAAGAGGACAGTCAACAAAAAAAAATAGCCACTTTGACCTACAAACAATTTACTAACAACCTGAATGAATCTGCAAAGACTTAGAGCCTCAGAGGAGCACTTGGTCTTAGCCAAGATCTTGGCTTTATAATGTGGGCCCTGAGCAGAGGCCCTAGCCATGCTGGGGAACCCCTGACCCAGATATTGGGAGATTACATCTTTGCTGTGTCCAGCTGCTGAGTCTGTGGGCACTAGTTACGCAGCAATATGGCAACTCATACAGGCCTAAATCTATTCATTACCAATTAGACAAGTCACCATCTTCTAAGTTTACTTCTTGTGTACAAAATGAGGTCAGTCACAGCATCTTGTGAAGTGATTACATTAAGACATGAGATTATGTCTACAGCGTTAGTGCCCTTTCCTTAGAGGAAAAGTCCTGAAAACCTCAACAAAAATACTCATGCATGGAAATACTTCTAAATCAGTATAAAATATTATAAGAACCAAGTATAGCTTAAGATAGGATATGACAGACTATTTCTAAAAGAGGGTACAGTGTTGATGAAGTTGTATATGCAAATCAGCCTCATCTCAGAGTCTGAAGGAAGAGCGGGTCAAGCCTGAAGACTACACTGCAGAAAACTGAGCATTTTAGTATATATAACATTTTAGTATATATAGTAAATTGCTATTGATACATGATCCTATCACCTGTCTTCATTCTAGGCCATGTGAAGTAAAAATGGATTAAGATTTTGTGTCCTGATGCAGTGTGGCAAATGCTGAAGCCTGACATGGTAGCAGTACCTATCACCGGGCAGTGTGCTTCCCCCCATTTATGCTTTGATCTCACAGCAGCTTGTGGTGGAACCAGTTTGAAATCACTTTCCATTTTGTAGATATGAAAACAGACAGCAATCAAGTATCATAAGTAGCCTAGTCTCTCATCCATAGAGTTCTTAAAAATCAACAGAAAAAAAAGGAAAAATTAAAAATGGGTAAACCCATTCAGAGAAAGAAAACTAAATGGCCACTCAATAAAAAGATATGTGAGCTTACTAATAAAGAGATCCTTGTTAAAAAAAAAAATCACGAGGGTATTTTTTTGTTGGTCAATCTAATTGGCAAATATAAAATGATTGTTGATATTCATTTCTTAGTCTATTTTAATTTGGTAGTAAACACACTAATATTGTAAGGAAGCCAGTGAAGTGAAATATACTAGGGATGTTATTAGTTACTTTATCACTCACATGATTGATGAAAACATATTATATATCCATGATTCCCCCCAAATTCAGTTTTATAAGAATAACTACATAGAGAAATACAAGTTTAGTTGTCTACCAAAGCATACAGGCAGGACACTGAAATGGCTCACAATAGATTTTGAGGCCAGATTCCAAATATTGCTAATTATATTTTGTTATTACAATATTTTCAGTCTAAAAATGGGATACAGACACAAAAAGCACTAATAAAATGTTCTGCCTTGGGGGCTGGAGAGATGGCTCAGTGGTCTAAGGCACCTACTTAGAACAAGCTTGGCAAAGCATCAGGGACCGCGGTTCAATCCCCCAGCACCACATGC